CAGCGAAGAGCCCGACGAGGCTCGATCCCGTGAACTGTGAGATCACGACCCGAGCCGAAACCAAGAGTCAGACACTCAACCACTTAACCGACTTAGCCCCCCAGGGGCCTTGTTGCTTAACTTCTGGATTAGTCTGTTATGCAATAATAGATTACTACAGAATATACAGATACACGTGTGTAAATGATCACAGAAAACATCAATATTAAATGCATCACTTAAAAGAGTGTTGTCAATATCTGGATTAAAAAAAAACAAATTTTAGGGGCGCCTGGGTGGCTCAGTAGATTAAGCATCCAACTTCGGCTCAGGTATTGATCTTGCCGTTCCCGAGTTCAAGCCCCACCTCAGGCTCTGTGCTGACGGCTCAGAGCCTGGAGCCTGTTTCAGATCCTGTGTCTCCCTCTCTCTCTGCCCCTTTGCCACTCACAGTCGGTCTCTCTCAAAAGTAAACATTAAAAAAAATTAAAAAGTCAAATTTTATGCAGAGAAATAGGTAAAATATAAGGTTAGAGAATGGTTGAAAGGAAGAGATACACCAGGCAAATTCTAACCAAAATAAAATCAATCACAGTCCAAAAAATATAAAGCAAAAGTGGACAGAATTATGAGAGACAGATACGTTCCCCAAAATTCTTACTGTACTTTGCTTAGCAGTTGATAGAAAAAGCAGACCAAAAAAAAAAAAAAAAAAAAAAAAAAAAAAAAAAAAAAAAAAAAAAAAAAAACCAACTCGGTTAATAACACAAAAGATTTGAACAACACAATGAACAAACCTGATCCCACTTTACCCGACAATTGCAGGGTTCACATTATTTTTGAGCACTGAGCAGCACTGACAAAAAATGACCACACGAAGCAACTTACCACAAACGCCCAAGTATTGTAGTGAGACAGACCATAGTCTCTGGTCAAGATACAGTTACGCTAACAAGAAAACAAAAGCTAACTATAAAACCAGACGTTAACACATTGATAGGAAACCAATTTCTAAATAATGAAGGATTAAAGAAATAATTGTAATGGAGATCAGAAAATACTGAACCAAACAGTACAAAAAATACGATATTCAACAATTTTCAGATGCAGTTACAGTAGAAAATAAAGAGAAACAGATTCTTAAATGCATGTATTGAAAACAAACGTTGCAAATTAATGAGCCACCCATCCAGCTAAAGAAGTTACTAAAGGAACAAATCGGATAGTAAAGGTAAAAACAAAAGTAAGCAAAATGGGAAATACAAAGTTGAACAAAATACCGGTTCTCTGAAAAAGCCAAGTGAAAGCTGACAAAACCCTGACTGATGAGGGCAGGGGCGGGTAACCAGTGTCAGGAACAAAGGTGACAGTGGCATCATCCCGCTATAGACAGGAAGAGGCTGGGAAGGGGGAAGGTTTGTTTCACATTCCTGGATCCATCAGTGCCATTTGCCACATCAGCAGAATACTAAGATCATCTCAACAGAAGCAGGGAGATCACCTGATACATTGTGTGTCATTCATGAGGGAAGGGAGGGAGAAAGGGAAGAGGGAGGAAAGACAGAGGGAGGGA